CAGGTGAAGAACAGTTGAAGTTTATGTACCTGAGCATCAGAAACCAAAGTCATGGAGGAAGGATTTACATTCAACAAACCATTGCTCTAATATTTCCCCCACCCTTCCATATACCATGGATAGTAAAAACAACATTAACCCCATATGAAAAGCTGCCTTTTGTTAGAGGCCATATTTTTTTCTCACCCTGTGACAGGTAACTTGAATTTATTTTGTACAGAGATTATTCTTTGGTAAGGATCTAAGGATTTGATTTCTTCTAAGTGCTTTTTTGGAACGATAGTTAAAATTTTGCTTTTTACAGAAAATCCATTATTATAAAATAACTTTGGTATCAAATTTAATAATAAACTTTCATAAAAGCAGGTATGTAATATGTACTTGAAAGTATTTACAGTATACTGTGGGAATATATGTTAAATGGCAATCTCAACTTCAAAAAGCATACTCACCGCTTCTGGTGTCTTTCCTACAAGCACACTACCACCTATCTTTTCTTCTGTTTCCATTGAGTCACTAAAATGAAGAGAGCCAACAATCAATCAATCATCTGATAACTCTTTTCTGAATAGAATGTGCACTTTGTTTATACCATGGATCCGAACCATGTCCAAATTAAATATTTTGCAAGAAAATAATGTTCACTTTATAATCATTATCACTAAGAAACAAGAAAAAATTCCAGGCATCTCCGAGATAGAAGCAGCCCAGTTATTGAATTTTCCCCAAATAAATATACAAAGCAACCAGGTAAGCATAATCCATGAACAACAAATACAACAAGAAGAGGTGACAAAATATATCCCCCATTCCCAAAAGAGTCAAGCTACAAAACCAGTCTGCAATGAAGCAGCTGGGACTCCAACTACTCATAAAACTAACTGGCCAACTCTCCCTTCTAGGTCAAAGCCTCATACTGAGGAGAAAATACTGGGCAGATAATCCAAATAAAGAAGGCACAGACAAAGAAAAAGAAGGTCCAAATAAAAACAGAACCAGGAGATCTCAGAACATAAGCCACCATTTTATTTAATACTCCAAAAACACAACAGAAGAGGAAGTTCTAGAGAGCAGTGAAACTGAAAACTATCTCAAACAAGCCTCCCTTATAAAAGTTCAGAAAAACTAATTTCTGTAAAAATAAGCCACAGAAACTGATCAAACTAAAATCCCATACAACATTATAAGAAAAAATTATTTCAAAAGAGGTAAAATACATACATTAACATGCTAGAACTAGGGGAAAATTAGAAATGAAAGAGGAAAAATAATCATTTCAGAAGTGAAGATTAACTCAGAAGGGACATGTAAGCAAATAAACACAACATATAACGCCTTAGGAAAAGAAAGACAAAATATTGCAATTTTTTTTTTTTTTACTGCAGTGGTCTAGAACTGAACCTATATTTCCAAGGTATGCCTACAGATCAATGGAAAAGAATAGGAAAAAAAATGTATCAAGACATAAACACGATAAACTGATTTTTGCCAAAGGCTCCAAGGCAATTCAACAGGGAAAGGACAGTCTTTTAGATAAAAAGTGATAGAACAATCAGGTACTCATATGGGGAAAAAAACCAAAATCTTTTTTTTTTTATTTTTTTTAAATTTCAGAATATTATGG